CCTCTCCCGTTGCGGAGCACAGGCTCCGGACGCGCAGGCTCAGCGGCCATGGCTCACGGGCCCAGCCGCTCCGCGGCATGTGGGATCTTCCCAGACCGGGGCACGAACCCGTGTCCCCTGCATCGGCAGGCGGACTCTCAACCACTGCGCCACCAGGGAAGCCCAAGAGAGAGATATTTTGAATAGAAATGCTAGAGGAAATTTTGAAACAGAGGAGAATAGAAGCAAAGCTATTCAACTTTTGTCCCCTGTGCTCCTTGCCATCCTCAGCAGCACAATTCACAGACCGGGGCCCCCAGCTGCCTCAGTAACAGTGCGGGCGGCAGAGTGGTTGACCTGCGATTCCCCAGATGACTTCCAGTTCAACAGCTTGGTCAGCGGGATGTAAGCAGTTAACAGCGAGGACCTGGACTCAAAACACTGTCCACCCCAGGTCCCCAGAGTAATGTGCAAGAGAACAGTGGACTCACAAGGCCGGGTGGGGTCAAGGGTGGGAAAGGAACAAAACCATCCCACGTGGCTGGGGATCTCGTCATCCCGCTTCCCAGCTGTGGAAACAGGAGACAATGCGGTGAACCCACATGCACCGCCTCCCCCGGGGGCTGTTCGCATCCACGGATAACGACCGTATAAGGTTTTCTTTCTGCAGTAACGTCACGGGTACATTTCCCATCACGATGAAAATCATGATGAAAACACTGCTTAACACCCAACGGCTAAGGATTTGTGGGCCCACAAATATAAATAAATTCATGAGTTAACAAAATGGATCATCATTTATCAAAGCTACTAAAAGTTAGACAACCCAGTAGTCTGTTTAAAAACCTTTGTTTTACCCAGATTTGGAAAACAGAAGCAGTTGTCTCTCATTAAGGCCAAAATGGGTTGAAATGGTTCCTAAGTGTTTCAAGTTGAACAGGGCCTGCAAACTGACTGCTCGGAGGAGCCCCACCAAGTAGCAGCCGGCTGCGACCTCACCCACAACTCGCCCTTCCTCATGTTTCACTTACAGGCCCCACTGCTGGTCCACGTCCGCTCCCCTCTGCACGAGAACCGGGATCGCTTCATGGTGCTTGTTCGTGACCGCCGGGCTCAGAACGGGCTGGTCTTCGTTGTCACCGCAGTTGGGATCTGCTCCCTGCAGCATGTAGAAAATGACAAACTTGCACAAAGCCTAAGCTCAACGGCACCGGCTCGCCATCCTAGTAAGTATAACAAACCCTTGATGGAACTAAACTGCTTTAACTCAAAAGAAGCAGGAACCCCAAGACCCAACCTATAAAGACAGAGCTGCTAAGTCACGTGGGCGATAAAACTTGTGTTTCTGCTCCCCCAGCAGGAGGCCAGGCACCTGGATGGACAACCTTGCTTCCTTAGGAAACATCATGGTCACACAGGGTCACAGACCAGGGATTCTGTCCACCTTCCTGCACTTTATTTGGGCTCCTGTGCACTTTTCTGCCTATTTTCTTTGCTATAAAAATTAGCAACAGGTAACAATTAATGTAAAGTTTTTGACTAGCCGTTTAGCCCACTTCCAGACGGTTTTAAGTTAAGCGGCACTGTGATTATCACAATATCGAACAAAACTTCCATCTGAAAGAGACGGGGTGGCAGGCCTGGCTGAGCGCCTCAGGGAGGCGTGTTCTTGGGCTGCACTCACTTCATCACGTAGCTGTTCCATCACAGACACTCTTCCTTCCCCTACTGGTCGGACCTCCTTCAGCAGAAGCCTATTTTCAGGCTGCAGGATCATAGAAGGTGGTCGTTTCCACAGCTGCAAAATCCTTTTACTGTCACGCCCCACTTGTCCAGGCTCAACCCTCAGGGCAAATGTTTCCTCTCCTGGGTAAGTTCTGAGTCCCAGGGACAGGTGAGTGTGAGCACGAGCGTGTATGTGTGTGTGTGATGTGTGTGTGGGGTGTGCGTGTATGTGTATGTGGTCTTCAACGGCCAGCAGCACAGATAAACACATCTAATGTAAATCTAGCCAGCCTTTGAGGCCTTGCCTGGGGGAAGGACACCACACTGACATTTTTTCATGTTATTAAGGACAGGGATGCAATGAGAAACCTCATAAAACCCCAGAAACCACACACTAGTTTTATTATGAATATTTCGAGGAAAAGCAACCAGGTGAATCCTAAAGTTCACGCTGCACGCTTTATAAGGTGTTCGAAATCAGCCTGAGTGTGACCACCTGCCTGCGGAGAACCCCCCCCCCCCCCCCCCCCCCCCCCCCCCCCCCGGGGGC